CGTAGACGTGGCAAGGAGTGGTGACCCAGACGGTGGTGCTAGAGAAGAGTCTGGTGCGACAGGGAGCGACACCCACAAGGGGAGGCTACCTGACCTGACGCAGACACCTGACCAGTAGCAGCTACCTGAGGAGGCGCAGTCGTCAGTGTGTAAAGACTCGACCCTGGCCGACGGGTAAACGTGGCCAGGTGGCGATCGGTCCGGGAGCACGTACAGATCGCCACACGCTGTCTTCCAGGGGTAAAGGTGTCAACCCACTAGTCCTGGAGAACTGCGTTGCTCACCAAATTCGTAGAGAACGAGGGGAGGTGGAAGCCTGTCAGTGAGCCAGACAGAACCGCCGGGCACGGAAGCAAAGTGGTGGACCGTGCAAGAACTGGGCCCCCTGAGGGGTCAACCAGAGAGACTGCAACAGGTGCAGTGAGTGGTGTGAGTGCAGTACTGTCACGAAAGAAATAGCGGGAAGCACCTGAGTCAAGCGTGAAGGTGTGCAAGGCCTCAACAGGGGCAGTACCTGAGGAAGCAGACTCGCTAGCACCTAAGGCAGCAGCATCACTAGCACCTAGAGCAGCAACCTCTATACCGGGGTCGTACTGTACACACAGGTGACAGTCATTCTCAGCACCACCAGGCAAAGCAGACATGGCAGTAAGGATGGCGTCATAGTCTAAAGCAAAGACAGCAACGCCCGACCTAAGCAGCTCAAGCCAGGGGGGGGATCTCAGCCTTATCGCCAAACTCTGTGCGCCAGGCGTCAGTCAAATAGGCGAAGCAGCGGGACTGTGCGTGACCAGGTATCCCACAGGTCTCACCAGCTCGACGACCTGCGCGAATGACGTACTGGCAGCGACCCGGACTCGGAGACGGCCCACGCTGGTAAAGCCACTCACGAAGCTGCTGGGGCGTAAGGGTCGGACGCCGCCGTAGCTGCATCTGGCCACCGCCAGACACTCCGCACCAAACAGCGCCACAGTGACCGCTACTACGGCCGCCACCACTCCCACTGCTGCCACCACCGACGTCACCACTCCCACCGGTACGACAAAGGGAAGTCATGGCGGGCAAGCTAGGAGGAGCGCGACCTCTAGGGCAGTACGGAGTGAAGGCAGTAGCACGAGTAGCAGCAGCAGTAGTAAGAGCAGCAGGGCGGCGCGCGGCCAGAGCAGGGCGGCGTGCGGCCATAGCAGGGCAGCAGCAGGGAATAGCTCCTAGGGCAGAAGCACCTAGGGCCTTTTTTTATTTTAATAATTATTTAATTTTATTTAGGGTTTAGCAGGGCGCTGGCGCAGGGCAGGGCGCTGGCGCAGGGCAGGGCGCTGGCGCAGGGCAGGGCGCTGGCGCAGGGCAGGGCGCTGGCGCAGGGCAGGGCGCTGGCGCAGGGCAGGGCGCTGGCGCAGGGCAGGGCGCTGGCGCTGGGCAGGGCGCTAGCGCAGGGCAGGGCGCTGGCGCAGGGCAGGGCGCTGGCACAGGGCAGGGCGCTGGCGCAGGGCAGGGCGCTGGCGCAGGGCAGGGCGCAGGCGCAGGGCAGGGCGCTGGCGCAGGGCAGGGCGCTGGCGCAAGGCAGGGCGCCGGCGCAGGGCAGGGCGCTGGCGCAGGCCAGGGCGCTGGCGCAGGGCAGGGCGCCGGCACAGGGCAGGGTGCTGGCGCAGGGCAGGGCGCTAGCGCAGGGCAGGGCGCCGGCGCAGGGCAGGGCGCTGGCGCAGGGCAGGGTGCTGGCGCTGGCGCAGGGCAGGGCGCTGGCGCAGGGTGACGCCAGGCAGGGCAGGGCAGGGCATGCGCTAGGCAGCGCGACGCGGGGCAAGGCAGGGCGTGCGCGGGGCAGCTGTCAGAATGTTGTATTTGTCTAGCCTGCAGTGGGGTACTCTATAGCGAGTACAGCCCAATCTAGGGTTTCCTATATGTACTCAACTGCTTGCTAGTGAACCTCCTCCTTTCTTCATTCTTTCTTTCTACTACTACTTCTGACATGCTATCAGAGCAGGTCGATCCCCTTGGGTCGATCCTGTGGGTGGGCCCACCACCTCACTGCTTCCGCTGCTACTGCTACTCTGTGTGTTGCACGCCCCGTGGCGTGCGACGGATTTTTCATCCCGCCGCGCGCTCGGAGCGTGCGGCGGTTTTCTGCCCGCCGTGCGCCCCGAGGCGCGCGGCGGTTTTCTGCCCGCCGTGCGCCCCGAGGCGCGCGGCGGTTTTCTGCCCGCCGTGCGCCCCGAGGCGCGCGGCGGCTTTCTGCCCCGTCGCGGCCTGCGCGACCTGCGTAGGGCCCGCGCGCGGCCCGTACAGCCTGCGCGCGGCCCGTACGGGCTGCGCCAGGCCCGCGCGCGGCCCGTACGGGCTGCGCCAGGCCCGCGCGCGGCCCGTACGGGCAGCGCCAGGCCCGCGCGCGGCCCGTACGGACTGCGCCAGGCCAGGGCGCGCCTCGGGCCGCCCGCACGCGGTACGTACGGGCTGCGCCAGGCCCGTGGGCGCCCTGTTTTCTCTGCCCCTGCGCTGCCCGCTGTCCCCCGTGCTTCTGACGGCGCCCCACCCCTGCTGCTGCCCGTTCTCCTGAATTAGGGTTTGGAGGTGGGGGGTATGGGGGTGCAGTTTCTGTGCGTCGTCCCCTACTCCTCCTCCTCCTCCGTCTCCCAGTGCTGCAGCTGCCGCTGAGGGGGGTGGGTGTGTGGGAGCCGAAGGAGTGGTACTAGGGGGGTGACGTGCAAGTGGAGTTAGGAGTGAAGCAGTGGGTGTGTGGGGGGTGTGTGGGACAGTTGGAGGAGGTTGAGCGGAGGCTGCTGTCTTGTCGTCCGCAGCACCTGTAGTCCGGGGCGCACTGTCCTGGTAGCCCAGAGAGTCTGCTGCGCCTATCGCCCGAGGGTCCGTTGCTCCTGTAGCTCGTCGTAGCCCGTGAGCCAGTTACTCCAGTAGTCCGGGGCGCACTGTCCCGGTAGCCACTGTGCCAGCAGCTCCTGTTGCCCGTGTGTCTGCAGCTTCAGCCGCCGTCTCTTATCTTCTCTCCTCTCACAGTCCCTCCTCCTCCTCACTTGCCCGCTGTGATTACCTCTAGCTTTGCTTCTTATTGTGAACTCCTGCTATACCTGCTCATTGTGCTGATTACACCCCACTTTGGCTATGGGGGTGTGTCAGAATGTTGTATTTGTCTAGCCTGCAGTGGGGTACTCTATAGCGAGTACAGCCCAATCTAGGGTTTCCTATATGTACTCAACTGCTTGCTAGTGAACCTCCTCCTTTCTTCATTCTTTCTTTCTACTACTACTTCTGACAGAAGCGCGACGCAGGGTAGTGGGGTAACGTGATAACCGCAGTCGGAAGCTAAGTATGGTGGGCCCGAAAAAAAAAAAAAAAAAAAAAAAAAACGGTCCTACGGACCTACTATTCTGATACCATGTCAAGATAGCAAGCAGGGATGTTGCATTGAATGAAATGTGGGTACAAGTACTAGCCATAACTTAGGGTTGTACCCCATATGGGCTACCCCACTATAGCCTACACAGAACTAACACCTATATAGTTTGACAGGTGAGTGTCTTGCTAGTGTCAATGAGCGCTGCCATTTTCAGGGAGGTAGGGGACGTGCTGCTGGTCCTGGTAGTGGTTGTCAGTTTCACGACGGTAGGGGAGGTGGTCAATGTTTTCTCCAGCTTCAAAGAGGTAGGGGAGGTGCTAGAGGTCCTGGTAGTGGTTGTCAGTGTCACGGCGGTGGGGGAGGTGGTCAAAGTTTTCTCCAATTTCAAAGAGGTAGGGGACGTGCTGCTGGTCCTGGTCGTGGTTGTCAGTTTCACGGGCTGGAGCAACTGATTCGCCGATTTGGTCGTCGTGGCTGTCAGTTTCAGGGAGGTAGGGGACGTGCTGCTGACCCTGGTCGTCGTGGCCCCTAGAATGCGCCGCGCCGCGACCAATCCCTTGGATCCTGCTGTGCAGTGAACAATGGAAGGGATGATAGGTTCGGATGTACTAGTAGTAGTACCAGAGTTACCCGAATGCAGCATGATACACGTAAACTGAACGGATTTTTGAGAATTCTCAAAATACGGAATTGCACGATGACGGAATAGATGCGAAGCTTACCTGCCGCAACATTCGATGCTGACGTCACAAGCAGCACGCACAGAAGCATCGGCAACGCCGCCATGGTGGCTGCACCTTGTTTTGTCCGAGCCATAAGAGGCAACGGCGTTGATCCCGACTCGTGAGAATTGTAAGCGCGAGAGGAGAATAACGGATGAACGGGAGAGTTGTTGGCTGGGAAGTTGGAAAAGAAGTTGAATGACTACTATAGATGCGAAGGCGAGATGACGAGGGAGTTATATAGGACTCCTCTTGGAGTGGAATCATTGTGAGGTTGGGGCTCCCACGAGAGAGCAGTTTCGTTACTAAGACGGTCTTTGCCAGGCGGAGGGAGACGCTCACACATTGCGCGTTCAACGCGATACTATTGCGCATGTTTCGGCGTGAAAACCGTCGCCAGGTGGGACTCTCCCAGTTAGCGGCTGCCTAAATCCAACACGCGCGCGTTCCTGTGGAACAGCGGGCGAGGTTTACGCTACGCTGTGTTAGGAAGTGGGGGTAGGTGGGCTCTTACGAGAGAAGAGGGGAGGACAAATGCACTCAGGAAGATTCAATCTGGCGGATGACATGTATTTTCGCGCCAGGTCGAATCAAATGTGAGAGTTGCTCGCTCTGTGTGCTTCGCAGGTTAGTGTGAAGCGAATTACACCACAGTCCCCCACTGCATGCTGCGAGTTCGCAACATTCGCGGCCGATAGTTGCGGCGTGATGCCAGGCCAATCGCAGGTTTGAATGTGCCACTATTGTTACAAACATTGGTTGAGTTAAATGTAAATTGTTGTTATGGGAAAAACCGTTTTTACTACACTAAATAGGGTACACCAAACCAAGAGAGGGCCCTTTTGGCCATCCAGCAACACAATGCCAAGGCCCAGCTTCCTCCACTTTCCTCCTAACTTCCCAAGCCCCCTCTCTCCTTGCTCACTCTCGAATCACTCTGCTTTGTTTCTCCCTTCACCACCACCATTATTCACCTCAGCCCTACCCTCTTCCTCCTCTTCACGTGCTCCCACACCCACCCGTTTTCGCAACCCCTCACCCTCTCTCTCCGCCGCAACCCCCTTTGTTTCTCTGCTGGCCCTCATTGCTTCCTCCTCCCCCTTCCCGCTCTCCCCAGCCTTCCCTTCCCTCCCTTCCTTCCCTTCCTTCCCTTCTCTCTCCTTCCGCCGTTTCGCCTCAAGAGCCGCCTTGTGTGGTTTCAGGTAGATTCGGTAGAAGGCTGCTGCGAGCACGGCACCGGCGGTGGGAGCAGCCCAGTAGACTATGAAGTGCTGCACCGACATCTCCTGATCCAATGTGTACACCCACCCGAACGCCTGGAGGAAGGGAGTGGGGAGTAGCAAAAAAAGAACTAATGCGGAAAGAGACCACAACTGTTGGAGAAGCCCAGTCAGTTATGAAGTGCTGCACCGACATGTCTTGGTCCAACGAGTACACCCATCCAAATGCCTGGAGAAGGTGAGAGACGAGGAAGCATGAAATGAGGAAGGAAGGATGAGACAAAGGTGGGAGCAGCCCAGAAGAATGAAAAGTGCTGCACTGACATCTCCTGGTCCAACGTGTAAACCCACCGAAACGCCTGCCGGAGGGGAGTTGGGGAGTGAAGTGATGAGGGGTAGAAAAAAACATATGATGCGCCAAAAAAAAAAAAAACAAAGAAAGATATGATGATTGTTTGAGCAGCCCAGTAGACTATGAATAGCATCTCGCACCGACAACTTGACAGAGGGGAGCGCGGTACAATGTGTATCATCAGCCCAAATGCCTGACAGAGGGGAGCCAGTGGCGAGTGGGGAGGTGAGGAGAGACAAAAACCCCGATATGACAAGGAAGGATGAGATGATGATTGTTGGAGCAGCCCGGTAGGCTATCAAATGCTGTAGTGACATCTCTCGATCCAACGTATACACAAACCCAAACGCCGGCTGGAGGGGTGGGGGGGAGAAAAGAGGTGGAGAGTGACAAGAAATCATGAAATGGGGAAGAATGGATGAGATGAAGGTGGGAACAGCCCAGTAGGCTACGAAGTGTTGCCCTGTCATCTCTTGATCCAGTGTGTACACCTATCTGAACGCCTGCAGGAGGGGAGAAGGGAGGAATAGGGAAGGAGACGAGCAGTGGGGGAAGATACGTGCGGGACAGAGCAGCCCGGTAGAACATCGAGTGCCTGGCTGACATATCCTGATCCAACATTGGCACCCACCCAATCGACTGGAGGAGGGGAGTGGGGAGGAGTAACGAGACGGGGAGTGGTAAGGAATAAGGAAATGAGGAAGAAGGAAGGATGAAATTTAGGCAGGATGAGTGAACCAGGAAGTGCTGCCCTCGCATTTCTTGAACCAGCTGGTGCAGTTCTAGAGTGAGTCAGGAGAGAGGGAGGGTGCTTACAAAGAGGGGGTTCAGGGAAGGGCCAGAGAAGCCCATGCCAGCAGCAATGGCGACTATTGTGGCTGAGACCATGATGACTTCCTTTAAGCGGTCGCTGCTGGGGCCCAGGAACAGCGTCCACATCACCACCAGGAACAGCAGAAACGTGAGCGTAAACTCCGCTGTCGCGCCGGCCAATACCGAGACGCCAGGTGGCAGCGCGGGCCCGTTGACTGTGTGCTTGAGAGACTCCGGAATGAACTTCCACGTCAGCATGGCACCTATCACCATGCCACCTGCCTGATGACGTGGATGGGAGAGGGAGTGGAGGGGATAGAAGGAAGGGGGGGGAGGAAGGGGGGTGGAAGGAAGGGGGACAAGGGGGTTGGGATGGACAGGAAGGGAGTTGGATGGACACTCTGGGACAAAATCCCACGTCAGCATGGTGCCTATGACGATGCCACCTGCCTGGTGACATGGATTTGTGGGAGGGGGGGGAAGTGAGAGGGGGAGGCAAGGGGACAGGAGAGGGGTTCGGATGAACCTTGAGGGATGGATGGGCTCGAGAAAGAAGCTTCATGTCGTGCGGTGCTGGGATGGGAGGTATGTGTCGTGATCCAGACACTATGAGAGCGCACTCAACCCATGCTTGCCAGCTTGTTGTAGGCGTTTCTTAAGAACTCTAGAAAAACACTTCAAAGAAAGTGCCGTGATCCAGACACTCTGAGAGCCCACTCAACGGATACCCACATCCCTGCCAGCCCTCCCCTGTCCCCTGCCAGCCCTGTGGTCCCTGCCAGCATCTGAGCGGGGCAGGGGGCAGGGGGCAGGGGGCAGGAGGCAGGGGGCAGGGGGCAGGGGGCAGGGGGCAGGGGGCAGAGGGCAGGGGGCAGGGCGCAGAGGGTTGGAAGGCGGGGAGGCATGGGAAATTCTTAAGACGTATTAGAAAAAGGCTGCCAGTCATCTGTGTGCTGCCAGTCATCTGTGTGCTGCCAGTCATCTGTGTGCTGCCAGTCATCTGTGTGCTGCCAGTACCTGAGCGGGGAGGCGCAGCAGCAAGCCGAGCGCCGTCTCGTCGTCCTCGTCAGCGAGGTAGTTGATGAGGTTGGTGAGCGGGTTATACGACGCCCCCCCCAGCGCATCTGCCGCTCCCCCGAACCCCGCGACTTGAACGATGGTGATCGCCTGGTGCACACGGAGGGAGAGGCCGGAGAGAGAGGCGCGAGTGAGAGGCACTCGGGATAGGCATGAGGGAGTGGCATGAGGGAGAGGCATGAGGGAGAGGCATGAGGGAGAGGCATGAGGGAGAGGCATGAGGGAGAGGCATGAGGGATAGGCATGAGGGATAGGCATGAGGGAGAGGCATGAGGGAGAGGCACTCGGGATAGGCATGAGGGAGAGGCATGAGGGAGAGGCACTCGGGATAGGCATGAGGGAGAGGCATGAGGGAGAGGCATGAGGGATAGGCATGAGGGATAGGCATGAGGGAGAGGCACTCGGGATAGGCATGAGGGAGAGGCATGAGGGAGAGGCACTCGGGATAGGCATGAGGGAGAGGCATGAGGGAGAGGCACTCGGGATAGGCATGAGGGAGAGGCATGAGGGAGAGGCATGAGGGATAGGCATGAGGGAGAGGCATGAGGGAGAGGCACTCGGGATAGGCATGAGGGAGAGGCATGAGGGAGAGGCACACAAGGTGGCTTCTGAGTCGACTCAAAAGTCAGATGTCACCCTCTGAGTTCACTCAAAAGAACCCCGTAATCTGACAATGGCGGTCGCCTGGTGCACACGAGTGGGAGTAGGAGGAGGGAGAGAGAGAGAGAGAGAGAGAGAGAGAGAGAGAGAGAGAGAGAGAGAGAGAGAGAGAGAGAGAGAGAGAGAGAGAGCTCGACTTCCAAGAGCGTTACACAGTAAAGCGTTGGATCCACCAGATTTGTGACATTTTAAGAGACCGGTCCTTATGCGCGAGTTAACATGTCGATACATTGCTACATTGTTACATAGATTGTTAAATTGTTACAGTTGCCTACCAAGAGGAGAGCGACGGAGGTTTTATCGTCCGCGGCGACGTATGGAGCGAGGACTGCCACCGTGGCTTCCGTACACGATACCCCTATCGCATAAACGATTCTGATCATTAGGGGAATTCCGCAGAAGTGGCGAGGGTTAGAACGAAAAACAAAAACCAGTGGATGATGCCAGGGAAATCCGGATAACAAATTAAAATCTGCCCTGTTTCAACTAGACGAAGCGAGTAATAACATGTCGCCTAATTGATCAATTCAGAGCTGCTAGCATCTACCATCACATTTTTTCGTGTCTTCCCAAAGACATATTTTATCGTCCGTTCCGTACGTGAAAAGGAAGTCAGTGACGGCCAGCCGAACCACCTTTCCAGACGACATTGAATTCGCCATCCCACACCGCGCTTTCGACGGCCTAGCGGAGAAATATCAGGGCTTAACTCGCGGTCTAAGATTCTGAGGCCTAAGGAACTGAGAACGAGCTCCATGAAGGACGAGTTTAGGTCCTTTATCTAAGACGAATAGCAAGCTAATCAGGGTCGCGAACTTGACTTATTGGAGGAAGGGGTGATCCTGATGAGGGTGTGGTTGAGCAGAGGTGGGCCTGCCAAAGTCTGGTTGTGCACGGTCTTATCTGTTCCAGTAACTTTAATCACGGTGAAGAGTGGTGATTGAACACGTGCCGAGTTACGGTGAAGGGTGGTTGTTGAACTCGCGCTTGTGATGCAGAGAAGTGCCGCTCAACCGTGGCGCCGGGTAGCGCGCTAAAGAAACCAGGTGGGGGCCGGGTTTCCACAAAGATACAGTGTTTGCGATTATTTTATTCATAGGTTATTCTTTTCCACAGACTCCATTTTTCTGACTTCTGTGCTGTTGTTCAGGGGCTCACAAAGGACAACAATAACGGAATTACCGGTAGCCAAATTATAACGGAAAAGGGATAGACACCGCTATTTGGGCCAAATGCGAAAGATGCATAAAGAGTCTCAAATCATACCTGATGAAAATTGTGACAAAAGCTGGACTACTTGCATTCCTGACTGCGAAACATGTAGCCTCTACGGCCTATGGCATGAACTCATGCAACAAAGCTGAATCCATGGTTAAATCTGCAAGTCACTTCGCAGCTACAGTAACTGTCAATTGCACATACACTACCACGTATCTACCACAACTCAACCAGTTGCACTTCCATTCTGTGCCTAAGATGTAGTCATGTAAGCTGTAACCAACTTCCCCCTTTCATTTCTACCACTCAGCTTTGTCCTGAAACCACCAGCAGCACCACCGGAAAAGCTGATGGCACTTCCCCGCTCTCCCTTATCTTCCGTTTCATCCACTCCAGTTGCTCCTCCCTCATACAGCTCCAGCAATATCTATCAACCAAGCCATCACTCAAGCCTCTACATCTGGTGACGCCTCAGCTTGACCACCCGCACTCGCCCCAGCACCACCACCCGCTTCCGCCCCTCCTCCCACTCCTCCTGCCATTCCTCCTGCTCCTGCCGTGGCCCCTCCTCTCGTAGTTGGTGTCTTAGCCAGCGTTCTTCCGTACAGCCCAAACTTCTCCCTCACCTTATCTGTCCCGGTCACGTACTCAGCAAACGTGAACACGCGGTTACGTGACGACAGGAGAGAGGGGCCTGCGTGCTTGGCAGGGGCTTTCCTCTCGCTGTAGCACGTGGCGCAGAGGTCGAAGCGCGACTTGGTCTCGCGGTAGCGCAGCCCGACTATGGCGTATCGACACACGTCGCACGACATGCCCAGGTGCCGGGTACGATCGTAAACCTCCAGCTTGCGCAGGGTGTAGAGAATGGGGAAATACTGCAGCGGGTTGAGGGTTGGGGGGAGAGAGGAGGGGAGGAAGCGTTGGGAAGAGATCAAGTGCGAACCATGCACAAGAGAAAAAAGAAAAGTAGGCAAGTCGATTCATCCTGATAACATATGCACATATGATATAAGTGAATGCACACACACACACAAACACCGACACAAGAATCCCTAGAAGCATCTCACATCATCCACGAGGGTCTCAAACTGCTCCAACCCCACGTCTGGCACGCCCTCCTCGCCACCCTTCTCCTCCTCGGGCATGGGCGGCTGCCCCGGCAGGTAGATCTCGCGCACCAGCTGCACAAACCCCACCGCGTCGCGCCGCATGATCTTGCCCGCGGTGCCCTCCGGCCGCCCCCGCCGCCACTGCAGCGCTTCAAACGCCACCAGCTTCCTCTCCGGCACCGCCCCGTCGCACAGCAGCGCCACGATCGCCAGAAACAGCCCCAGATCAACGGCTGCCGCGGCCGCGCCGCCGCCGGTTTCGACGGCTGAGATGACCTTTTCGTTGAGGGCGCGCACGGCCTGCTGGAAGGTCTCTGGGGGGAGCGCTTCTGGGAGCATCTGGCGCAGCAGCAGCTCGATGGCCGCCTTTCGCACCATTCGCTCGCGCGGGGCCGCCTCGAAGTTGGCCTCTGAGAGCTCGGCGCGCAGCGCTGCCACCGGCACCTTGGAGAGGCGCGTGTGGCGCTGAGGGGGGTGGGCGGGCGGAAGGGTGGGAGAGGGGAGGGGGAGTGAGAAACTGAGGGCAAATCTCGCATTGAGAAGGGGGGGCGAATGAGAAACAGAGGGGGGTTCAAAATGAGTGCAGGGGGGATCATTACCCTGTAACCACCCTCGCCCAGTAACCATCTCAATGCTCACCTGGTAGGCGCGGACGTCAAGCGCCACAGCCAGCTCCGTGGGATTGCACACTGTGGGGCCGCTGCCCTTCATTCTCGCCGGATCCAACACCACGAAACTCCCCTCCACCGCGCCCCCTTGCGCACCCTCCCCGCCCCTATCTGGCAGCTTGGCGAGCGCGGAGCTCATCTTCTTGTTCTCCTTGTACAGCCGCTTCAGCTGCTTCACCGCATCGTACAGCTCCACGCGGTTCGTCAGCCGATACGCCGCCTCCAGCTCACGCTGCGCGGCCTCCCCTTTTCCGCCGCCCAGCAGCGACACGGCGCGGTTGAGCTGCGCCTGCCAGTGCCCCGGGCTGAGCGCGAGCACCTTGGAGTACGTGTCGACGGCGGCGTCGAACTGGCCCGTGTCGCGCAGCAGCCCCGCGTAGTTGTAGAGCGCGTCGACATGGTCCGGCGCAAGACTCAGCGCGCGCTCGAACGCCTGACCCGCACGCACGTCGTCGCCCAGCGCGTGCAGCGTCGACCCGAGGTCGCAGTGTGCGTCGGCGTATCTGATAAGCGGGAACGGAGGGGAAGAGAAAGACGGGAGTGGGGAGCAGGACAGGGTAGGCATAAGGCGGGAAAGGAGCGAGAATGCGGACACGAAGAGTAACCATCAAGTTCTCTATTCAGGCCCCGCGGGGCAAATGCTGCGCACTTGGTTTACACGACCACCTACGTTTTTCCGAATCCAAGGTAAATCACGTTCTGTAGCACCATTGATATAACATGCTGTGTGGTTGTAAAGCTCGCTTCCATGTAAAGATCTCTCGCTTGCACTCACTTGGGGTCCAGATACAGCGCATTCTGCAGCGCCTCCTCCGCCTCGCGGTACTCGCCGAGCCCGTAGAGCGCGCTGCCAAGCAGCTTCATGGCGTGGTGGTGGTGCGGGTTCAGCATGCCCGCCTCGCGGTAGTGGTCGCACGCGTTCATCAGCAGCCCCTCCGCCTCCATCGCTATACCCAAATTCACGTGCACCTGCATCAGAGTTGAAGTAAGCGGCAGGTATGAAAAACCATGGTAGTGGTGGCACCCCGTGCAGTAAACAAGCGTCTGCCTCCATCGCTATATCCTAAGTTCCGTGCGTCTGTATGGGAACAAACAAATGGCTTGGAATTTAGGCACGATGTTAAAACTGATGTAAGGGTGAGTCCACATTACACTTACCAATGAACCAACATTGCTTTCGTTACAGCCAGAACTGTCACTACATACCTGAGGAAGGATGGTCGCGTGCGCTTCGGGGTCTGCTTTCCCCGCCTCGAGGCTCTGGCTGTATGCATCCCGCGCCTGTGCCAGTTGTCCCATGCTGTAGTACGCATTCCCCAGAAGGAAGTACGCGCGGACGTTCTGCGGCTCAATCTCCACGACACGCATAAACGACGGCTTCGCTTCCTCCGTGCGACCGACCTTCATCAGCGCGCGACCCATCGCCATGTTCGCCTCCACGACGGCTGCGACGGGTAACAGGCTCTCCGACTGCGAGCGAAGGTCGGCGACAGCTTTCGTGAACGCAGGGCTGCTGAGAACGTTGTTAGGGTTGTCCTGTGCGCGTGGTTGCTGCTGAATAAGCGCCTCGAGGGCTTCCACCATGTGCTTTGTGGACAAGTAGTTATATCCTCCCTTGTCTTCCTCCACCGGAGCAGGAGGTTCAGGTTCGGCAGGAACCTCAGCAGGAGGCTCGGGAACAGCGGGAATAGAAGGGAGAGGAGCCGGAGTGGGCATGTCCAGGACAAGATTAAGAGCTTCGAAATCCCTGTCCACGTCACCAGCACCGTCGTCGTATGTCTGCTGAAGCCCCTCGAAAGACAAACCGACGCCTTCGGTGATATATTCTCCGTAAGTTTTAAATACCTCGTCTAGAATAGCCTCGATTTGCTCGTCCTTAAACTTGACCTTGGGATTGACGGCGATGACGAGACCAGCCATTTCCGAGCGGTCTAGTCCACCGTCTTTATTATGGTCAAACTTGTGAAATATCATCTTGACCTTGGCGTGCCGCACCGCGTCGGCATCCAGCTCCACCGCCATGTCGGCTGAGCTTTTAACAGGAAGAACACTGGTAACTTACTTAGCTGTAGAATATTGGCAGACTCGTCAAAAACACATACCTAACTTTCTGGCGTCACTACGATTTCTCAGTACACGAAAACCTTGGGAGGTGCCTCGTCCTATTGCTATTGCTGTATGGTCGTCGGCCTCGCTGCTACTCCTCTCGTCTACTTCACTGGAAACTAGTCTCTTAAAACCCGCGGGCCAAGAACTTCAACCTTAGGAAGCTTGGTTGGAGTGAGCAACACAATTGGCTAAGGTTTTGGGTGCGAGTGCCAAACTCAACCAAGGTTAGGAAGGTTGAGGCAATTTGGGCCTTCTTGGCCCTCCGGTTTTAAAACTGGAAACTTGACTCTGAAATCACCTCAGCCAAGGACCTCAGCCACAGGAGGTTGAAATCATGAATGCCGCTTTCAGCAGCACTGGGACTTGCGGCAGGGCAACATGTAAAAGCAAGCAGGGAGGGGAAGACCTGCCCAAGCTGGGATGGGATTCGCACGTTTCTCTTGGGAGCTTCATCCGAACATGATTGGTGTACTCAAACATCTTTTCGCCTGTCGCAACGGTCATACGAAGCCTCGTGGTCCCGTTGTGCCTGAGCTCTGACACTAGCTTGTCACGTTCGTTTTGGCGGGAACAGGCACGGCTGTACCCCGAACGAGCTTGAGGTGTGGCACAAGTTTATGATACGTTCGTGGCGGTGTGGCTCGGTGGCGAGAAGATTTCATGACCTGGAGGTAACACCCGCCACGTTGACCAGAGCCTGAAACATTTCGCCTGTACTGCTCCCACACGTTCGCGCATTCTTACCTGGAGTGACCGTGGCTGGTTGGCGTTTCTGTGCGGTTTAGTCAGGTTTCCGTATTTACGAGTGAGTTTTCTACACCACGGTTGAACTGATCACCATGGTTTTTTCAGAGAGCCAGTACCGAGCCTTGACCACATGAAGGCAGAGCAGAGGAATAGGCTCTGGGACCCTCCGTTAATGGATCAGGCGTGTTTGTATAACCGAATATGCATCAGCTCGTGAACCTACCGAAATACTACAAAGTCTTGAGCTGTTCCACAACGCGGTTACCAACTTCTAAATCCGTGTGTGAAGCCTTTTGTGCATTCATATTCTTGCCACAATTCAACTTCCGAACTGTATTGAATACCCCTTCCAGTTGTTTATTGTGCTAGGGTGTGGAGAAAATACGGTGGTCGATATGGTGCAAATTTGCACAGATCTAATTCGTCACCACTCTTCACCGTAATGTATGTTACTGGAACAGACACTACCGTGCACAACCAGACTTCGGCAGGTCTGCCCCTGGTGAACCAGCCAGATGAGCCATCACCATTCCCAGTTCTCATTTGAGCTCATGATTGTGAGCTCTCAGGGTGCGTTTCTATCCCGTGTCAGACATCAAGTCATGCGGCCTTAGTCTCCAATTTGTCTCTTCCGAACTTCGGGCCAAAATCGAGCCACTTCGGGTCTTCCGAACCTCCACTTCGTGTCAAACCTAATGTCTGACACGGGATAGAAACTACCCTCATTAGTTAGCTATTCGTCCTAAATAAAGGTCCTATACTGGTCATTTATGGAGCACGTTCTCAGTTCCTCAGGCCCCGAATTCTAGGACCGCGAGTTAAGCCCTGCTTAGTTTCCGCTAGGCCGGCGAAGGTGTGGTATTGAGATGGCGAATTCAATGTCGTCTGGGAAGGTGGTTCGGCTGGCCGTCACCGACTTCCTTTTTACGTACGAAAATAACAGACGATAACAATGTTTTGGGAAACATTGGGAAAAAAAAGGGATGATTAGAAATGTCTTAGAAATGCAGTAGCAGCTCTAATCTCGGCGACATGTTACCACTCGCCTCGTCTAGTTGAACCAGCGCAGATGATAATCCGTGATCCACATTTCCCTGGCATTATACACGGTGTTCTTCTCGTTTTAATGTAATCCATTTGTGCGGAATTTTCCAATGATCAGAATCGTGTGGGCGATAGGGGTGTCGTGTACGGGCGCCACGGTGGCAGTACTCGCTCCATACGTCGCCGCGGACGATGAGACCTCCGTTGCTCTCCTCTTGGTAGGCAAATGTAACAATGCCACAGTGTAGCAATGTAGGAATGTATCGGAATTGTAAATCTCGCACTTCAAACGCTTTCACTATGTCAGGCTCTAGGTGGGTCCTACGCCATCACTACGTAACGCTCTTGGGAGTTCATGCACTCTCTCACAGTGCGTTCACTCCTGTCGTATGCTGCTCTCTCCTGCATGTCCTTCTCGTATGCACCAGGCGATCGCCATCGTGGAGATCGTGACTTTTGAGTCGACTCAAAAGTCACCTTGTGTGCCTGTCCTTTGTGCCTCTCTCTCCTGCCTCTCCCTTCATGCACCAGGCGATCGCCATCGTGCAAATCGTGGGGTTCGGAGGAGCGGCGGCCGCGTTGGGGGGGGCGTCGTTTAACCCGCTGGCGAATCTGATCAACTACCTCGCTGATGAGGCCGACGAGACGGCGCTCGGCTTGCTGCTGCGCTTCCCCGCTCAGGTACTGGCAGCAGGTGCTGGCAGCAGGTACTGACAGCAGGTGCTGGCAGGAGTCAGATGCCTGGCTTGCATTGTGGATATCCGATAATTTGCTCTTCCAGTGTGTCTACCCCGACACACACCTTTCGCACTCCACAATGTTGGATATCTTGCTGACGTGGAACTTCTCTCTCGAGCCCATCCAACTTCAATGGCCATCCGACGCCCTCCCATGTCGCCTTGCCTCCCCATCTCACTTCCCTCCCCTCTAACCTATCCACGTCATCAGGCAGGTGGCATGGTGGTAGGCACTATGCTGACGTGGGAGTTTATCCCGAGTGTCTATCCTACTCTATTCCCGTCCATCACAACCATCTTGTCCCCCTTCCTTCCTCTCCTTCCTTCTCCTTCTCTCCCCTTTCCTCCCCACCAATCCACGTCACCAGACAGGCGGCATGGTGATAGGCACCCTGCTCATGTGCCAACCCAACCCAGCACGTCAATCCATCTCCCTTCCCATCCATTCCCACCCCTTCCCATCCCCCTCTCATCCACGTCACCAGGCGGGAGGCATGGTCATAGGCACCATGCTGACGTGGGAGTTCATTCCGGAATCTCTAAAGCACACCGTTAACGGGCCCGCGCTGCCACCTGGCGTGTCAGTATTGGCCGGTGCGACGGCGGAATTCACCCTCACGTTTGTGCTGAACCTGGTGGTGCTGTGGACACTGTTCCTGGGCCCCAGCAGCGACCTCTCAAAGGCATTCATCATGGTCACCGCCACAATAGTCGCCATTGCTGCTGGAATGGGCTTCTCTGGTCCCTCCATGAACCCCCTCTTCGTAAGCGCTAGCCCCCCTTCCTCTCTCCTTCACTCACACACTCGCTCTCACCCTTGCTCCCACACTCTCGCTCTCCCACGCTCGCTCTCACGCGCGTTTCTGCTGAACCTGGTGGTGCTGTGGACGCTGTTCCTGGGCCCCAAGAGCGACCTCTCAAAGGCATTCATCATGGTCTCAGCCACTCTGGTCACCGTCACTGCTGACATGGGCTTCTCTGTTCCCTCCATGAACCCCCTCTTTGTAAACCCCCTTTTGAGTCGACCAAACATCAAAGGCATTCATCATGGTCTCTGCCACTCGGGTCGCCATCGCTGCTGACATGGGCTTCTCTGGTCCCTCCATGAACTCCCCTCTTAATTAGCTCCCTCTTTCTCACTCCTCACTCACTTGCACTCTCGTGGGAAGCTTCTATCCTACTCCCTTGTCTCTGGGCCCTCCATGAGACCCCACTTTGTAAGCTTTCTCTTTCTCACTCACTCCCTCACTCGCACTCTCACACGCTCACACTCTCTCTCGCTCACATGTACCTTTCCTGTAATCCCTCCCCCATGCGTTTGGGTGGGTGCCTACGTTGGATCATGAGACGTCTGCCAAGCACTTGATGCTCTATCGAGCTGCTCCGTCCCGGATATTTCTCCCCTCATTCCTTAGTTCCCATACTCCCTACTCCCCTTCTCCAAGGCGTTTGGGTGTGAGTGTACACGCTGATCACGCGTTTGGGTGTCAGTCAGCACCATCAGTCAAGAGATGTCAGTCAGCACCATCAGTCAAGAGATGTCAGTCAGCACCATCAGTCAAGAGATGTCAGTCAGCACCATCAGTCAAGAGATAACAGTCAGCACCATCAGTCAAGAGATGTCAGTCAGCACCATCAGTCAAGAGATGTCAGTCAGCACCATCAGTCAAGAGATGTCAGTCAGCACCATCAGTCAAGAGATGTCAGTCAGCACCATCAGTCAAGAGATGTCAGTCAGCACCATCAGTCAAGAGATGTCAGTCAGCACCATCAGTCAAGAGATGTCAGTCAGCACCATCAGTCAAGAGATGTCAGTCAGCACCTTCAGTCAAGAGATGTCAGAGCACACTGGGCTGCTCCCACCTTCATCTCGTCCATCCTTCCATGCCATTTCCTGATTCTGCATCCATTTCCACCTCCCTTCTACTCCCCACTCCCCTTCTGCAGGCATTTGGATGGGTGTACATTTTGGTTCAGGAAACGTCAATCAGGCACTCTGTAGCCTACAGGGCTGCTGCTCCCACCTTCTTCTCATCCTTCCTTCCTCATTTCATGATTCCTCGTCTCCTTGCTCCTCCAGGCGTTCGGGCGTGTGTACACATTGGATCACGAGATGTCAGTACAATACTTCATAGAGTACTGGGTGGCTCCCACCTTCATCACCTCATCCTTCCTCCTTATATCGGGATGTCTGCCTCTCCTCACCTCCCCACTCGCCGCTGCCCTCCCCTCCTTCATGAATTCGAGTGGGTGTCCACATTGGATCAAGGGATGTCGGTGCAGCACTTCACAGTCTACTAAACCACCTTCATCTCATCCTTACCTCCTCGCCTCTCAACCCCCTGTCACTCCCCACTCCCTTCCTCCAGGCGTTCGGGTGGGTGTACACATTGGACCAGGAGATGTCGGTGCAGCACTTCATAGTCTACTGGGCTGCTCCCACCGCCGGTGCCGTGCTCGCTGCAGCCTTCTACCGAATCTACCTGAAACCGCACAAGGCGGCTCTTGAGGCGAAACGGCGAAAGGAGAGAGAAGGGAAGGAAGGGAAGTCTGAGGAGAGAGGGAGGGGAGAGGAGAAAGCACTGAGGGCTGGCAGAGAAACAAAGGGGGTTGCGGCGGAGAGAGAGGGTGAGAGGTTGCGAAAACGGGTGGGTGCAGGGGCACGGGAAGAGAAGGAGGGTAGCTCTGATGTGAATAATGGTGGTGGTGAGAGTGAAGGGAGAAACAAAGCTGAGTAATTTGGAGGTAGATGGTGAAATCGAGTGAGCAAGGAGAGGGGAGGGAGGAAGCTAGGAGAGAAGAATAGAGTGAGTTGGGCTCGGCGTTTTTGCGTTGCTGGATGGTGATAGGGCCCTGGTTTGGAGAGGTGATTAATTCCAGCTGGTGAATCTCAACCTAGTCAAGGCAAATTTTGAGTCGACTCAAAAGCCAGATGGTGTATCTCAACGTAAAATGGCAGGGGGAATGGCCAGGGATTGGCAAGGGGGATGGAAAGGGAATGGCAGGAATGGCAGGGGGCTGGCAGGGGAATGGCAGGTGAATTAGCAGGGTACAAATCCTACACGTCTCTCCAGGGTTTTGTTTGGGAGAGGGCGGATGTGCGCATGCGCTGCTGTTGATCCATAGAAGGTTTAAATGCAGTAGTGACACTGTTGAGTTGATTTTGACAGAGCAAGTTCATTATACGAGCTCCCTGATATTCTTTATTATAACAGGTACAGAAGAACTCTATACCAGCTTTTAATAATTAGGTGGTGGCACCTACTGGTACTCGAGTTTTCACGAAAGCTTGGAATGGAAGGGATGAAGTGGTCAAACTGGGCAATAATCCACTCCATTCCAACGCAGCGGATCTCTCATGGAGCCTACCGTGGGGAGTCAAGTTCGTCAACGCCAACAAGGCAGATCTCGCATTGTTCGGTGCGGTTCGGTCAGAAAGAAGTGAAACTCGAGAATCGCGGATTACCGCATAGAAGCTTACGGAACCGCATGGTACACCCAGTGGACAAACATGCGTGTGTGGGTGGGTGGGACTCTTTCCCTGCTCTTGTTCACCCTTCACCTTAGCATTCTATCCACCACATTATTTTCTTCTTCTATCGTTTCTATGCGGCTGCTAGTCCCAACCAATCAACCCAGTACTTACAACCTGCTTCCTACAACAAAGCCCTGCTAGAAGTACTTAACAGTCTAACAGCCTGGCTAAGTCGAACTGTGGTGTCACAGGCAAGTAGACGTCTCAACTAAGACTCGCCAAATCCGCAAACCGCTCCCCAGCAGTTACGCCGCAAGCGTCCGCGCTCGTGCCGCGCTTCCTCGCTGCGCGCCGCGTGTCAGGAGTCCGAAACACATCAACGCAGCCTCGTCATACCCAGCGGCTCGTCATCATGGCGCTGCGACGCCGCACTTCCGCGCGCTCGCCGGCGCCGCCGCTCGCGCCGGACACGCTAACGCTGCTGCTGCTGCTGCCGCTGCTGCTGCTGCTCATGCAAGCAGGGCTGATGCCTGGCTGTGAGGCGCAAGGCGGCGATTCCGAACTCATCCCCGTCCCTGGGTTCAGCACCCCCCAGAAAATCGCCATGGCTGAGAGTAAGCGACAGGACTTTTTTGCAGCCATCGGGTCACCTTTCAGTGGTCCCAACTTCTGAATAGTTGACTTGAATATCGAATGCTTTGAACAATCTTCTCGATGCTATAATCAGAAAGGTCTGACTGACCAGACCAGATCCTGAGATCCCCCCATCTCTCTTTCACTCATCCCTCCTTTCAATCACATCCCTCCTCCTCCCACATCTCTCTTAAAAAAGCAGACTCCAGCAACTCATCTTGACCCCCCACCCTTTCCGCTCCTTTCCATCCCACCCACCCAACCATGGCGGCATGACCAATCGTCCCGTCTCATTGCGCAGAGGCTGCACTGCTGGCGTTCGCAGCGGCCTTCGGGAACCATCCAGTATTCGCCAAGTACAAGATTTGAGTCGACTCATTACCTTTTCCAACCACCCCACCCAATCATGGTGCAGAAGCTGCGCTGCTGGCGTTCGCAGCGGCGTTCGGGAACCATCCAATATTCGCCAAGTACAGCAGCTGGGCCAACGTGTCCTTGGGAATGACGTACGAGACAAGCAAGCCGTGCGTGCAGTTCTGGCAACTCATCACTTGCGACGAGGAAGGCCGAGTTAATTCCATGTGAGTGTGCCTGCTCTATTCATCTCTGGTGTTGTTTCGTGATTTTGTTTCTGAAACCTACAAAGATGTAGGTTCTGCACGAGACATCTTAACATCGCCTCCAGCTTTTGTTGATTACAATACGCCGCCCTGCACCCTTGAGTGAGCGCGCAACCACATGCTCTCAGCAACCAAGAAAATGCATCCCACCCAGGTGACCCTCCATCAAGCTCCTCAGCCGAATCAGAACACCAGCCTTGGATCACAGCCTTTCCAGTCAGGGGCCAGCCCTTGTATGTACAGCACTCTATGGTGCGAGTGTCGCAGTGACCAGCCTTGCACATAGTCTTACCATACAGTCCCCAGCGAGCGCCTCTCATTCATGTGCCAACATCGCCTTTCTCCCTTTCATGCGCCCACGTGCGCATGCTTGCGGCGACATAGACAATGCATATATGGTGGCCAAGAACCCAGCCTTTGCCCAGAGACGCAAGGCGGGCCCCCTGAGAGGCACTCTCCCATGGAGCAAGATGCAGCTGGTTTTTGAAATTGCTCAAAAAGGTGCATCGTTTTTTACCCTTTCGTGAACCCACAACCACGTGCTTGCTTGCAGCGACATAAAAAACGCATATATGGTGGCCAAGAACCCAGCCTTTGCCCGCGGCCGCAAAGCCGGGCCCCCTGCGAGGCGTAATCCCATGGAGCAAGATGCGAGCTCTCTCCAACCTCGTGCTCTTGAACGTGGCGGGGAATGAAGTGTCTGGGCCCGTACTGCCGCCCACCATCTTCCGATTCCCCAAGCTCAAGGAGATGTGAGTCCGCGAGAACTGCCTTTTTTCTTTCTTTTTTTTTCTCTTTTTTTTTTTTCTTTTCTTTTCTTTTCTTTTCTTTTCTTTTTTTCCGTGTTTCGATGTTCACATGTTTCCACGTTTCCGTTTTCGCGTGTTCCCATGGCATGCTTCCACGTTCCTCCCATGCTCCCACACTCCCATGCTCCATGTCATGTCATGTGCGGCTATGTGAAGTGTTGTGCTGTGATGCTACCTGATGTGATTCGAGAATTGCTGCTCGTTATGCTGCCATGTGGTCCATGTGGTGCATGTGGTGCATGTGGTGCATGTGGGTGCATGTGGTGCATGTGGTGGATGTGGGTCCTGCTCATGTGCGCAGCATATGTATGGACAACAAGATGGTCGGACCCATCCCCAACACACTCTCCGCTTTGAAGTCTCTCCAAAAGCTGTACGTCGCTGGTCCAACACGCAAACATGTTTCGGCTCGGCTTCGCACAGGGATCATACCTGCTACTAAGCCTTCAACAGTGCAAGAGCTGAACCACAGGACGGTCGGCTCTATCCCCATCGCACTTTCTACTTTGAGATTTCTCCAGAAAGCTGTATGCCTATCCGCTGTCTCTCCACCCCTTCCCCGCTGTAGCACCCTTTCCTAAAACCCAATCCGTTGCTCTCCTCGGTCCTTTCTTCCATCCCTTCCCTTTGGTCAGCGAGGTTGTTGCTTCATCCCAGATTCACTCTCCTCTTTGACGGCCCTCCAGAGGCGTATCCCATCCCTTTCTGCCGTATCCCACCACTTCGTACTGTATCCGAAGGAGATTCCTCCTTCCACCCCCTCTTCTTCCCACACCCCCCCTCCTTCACAAGGACATGAGCATGAATCGCATCAACCGGGCCTATCCCACGTGGCATCGCCACCCTCAGCAGTTTAATCCCGTTACTCCTCCCACTACACTACCCCACGCTTCCCACAGTGTTGTGAGCATGAATCGCATCACAGGGCCCATCCCAACGCGGCGTCGCCACCCTCACCAATTTGCCACCCTCACCAATTTGCCACCCTCACCAATTTGCCACCCTCACCAATTTGCCACCCTCACCAATTTGCCACCCTCACCAATTTGCCGCCCTCATCAAAGAAATCCCTCTCCACCCACACCACTCTTCCCACGTGTGCCGCGACGCAAGCTGAATCGCATCACAGGACCCATCCCATTCCCACACGACATCGCCACACTTTTCAACGTGCCACCCCCATAAAGCGATGTCTTCCCACCCCTTTCACCATGCGCAGCGAAGTGAGCATGAATCGCATCACGGGGCAAATACCACCCGGCATCGCCACCCTCAGCAACCTCACATCGCTTGCAGTCTCCTACAACCAAATGTCTGGCGCGCTGCTGCCGGGGCTCGGCAACCTGCGGCAGCTGAGAACACTGTGAGTGAGACAGTGCAAGCAGAGTCTTAGGGGGAAACAAGTTTCAAAAGCCCATGCATGGAAAACATGTTTCAAGGGCCCATGCCTGCAAGCTGGGGTGATTTAGAGGCGCCTAAATTCTCCCTTTGCCTCCCTTCTGTCATGCCCCTTTGGTGCTGTGGAAGCAGGGACTTGGGTGGAAACGCGTTTCAAGGGCCCATGCCTGCAAGCTGGGGTAATCTCAAGAAGCTCAAGTCGCTGTGAGTGTAACCTGCAGAATTACCTGCACCTGATAGGCCCTAGTGCTCCTTGTGCTGCCTTGCTGATGTCACTACTGCCTTGCTGACAACATCGCCGCCTTGCTGACATCAATGCCACCTCGCTGACGTCACCAACAGTGCCACCACCATGCTTTATGGGCAGCAGCACAGGATGAAACCAGCTCCCAGTTTCCTAGATGCATACTCTCAGCATGCCACTCCCCTTGCACGATGGCCACGCCGTGCCACTCCCCTTACCCACCGCTCACTTCCCTGCCTTGCTCGTGACAGTCCCTCGTGACAGTCCCTCGTGACAGTCCCTCGGGACAATTTGAGACTGGAAGCACGGTCTTGTTTTGAGTCGACTCATAGCACGACCAATTTCCTGTCTTGCTAGTGAGAGGCCCCCCACATAACATTCACTGCCGCTCCCCTCCCCTCCCCTCCCCTCCGCTCCCCTCCCCTCCCCTCCCCTCCGCTCCCCTCCCCTCCCCTCCCTCCCCTCCCCTCCCCTCCCCTCCCCTCCGCTCCCCTCCCGTCCCCTCCCCTCCGCCCCCCTCCCCTCCCCTCCGCTCCCCTCCCCTCCCCTCCGCTCCCCTCCCCTCTTCTCCCCTCCGCTCCCCTCCCCTCCCCTCCTCTCCCCTCCCCTCCCCTCCCCTCCCCTCCGCTCCCCTCCCCTCCCCTCCCCTCCCCTCCCCTCCCCTCCCCTCCCCACCCCTCCCCTCCCCTCCCCTCCCCTCCGCTCCTCTCCGCTCCCCTCCCCTCCCCTCCTCTCCCCTCCCATCCTTCAACTCCGCTCCTGCTCCAGAAATCTGCAGAAGCTGAATCTGGGAGGCGCAGTGCCGGCAGCATGGGCGGGCATGGTGCCGAACAAGCTAGTGAGGCTGCTGCTGGGCTCAAGCTCGCACCCTTCCTGTTCCCCCTTTCCATTCCCCCCTCCCCTTGACAGCAATCTGCAGAAACTGAATCTGGGAGGGGCGGTGCCAGCAGCATGGGCGGGCATGGTGTCTCTGAAGCACTTTGTGGCGTCGGCTACTCGCATGCGCGGCCGCTTCCCCTCTGTGCTGCTCAAGCTGCCACGTATAGAAGACATGTGAGTGGACGCATTGCTGATTGTGCGTGGGGATGCGTGTGTGAGAGAGTGGGGGGGTTCTGTGTGTGTTAGAAAGAGTGCCTGTGGTTGTCTGTCTGTGTGGCCGCTTCCCCTCTGTGCTGCTCAAGCTGCCCCGCATCTCAGACATGTGAGTGGACGCATTGCTGGTTGTTCGTGGGGATGCGTGTGTGGGGGGGTTGTGTGTCTCTGCGTGTGTGCATCCGTGCGTGTGTGTGTGCGTGTGTGTGTGTGTGTGTGTGCATGTGTGTGCATCTGTGCATGTGTGCATGTGCGTGTTTGTGGCGGCCTGTCTGTGTGCATGCCTGTCTGTGTGCATGCCTGCCATTCTTCTTTACCCCTCTTTCCCCCAGAATTCTCTACAGCAACCCCTTGAAGGCCCCCCTGCCTCCTGCTGCCCCGCTCTTCACGCCCACGCCACACCACGCAGTTCACTCCACTTCTCTCCATCTGCCTTCCCCCCGGTCTCCCGCATCAACCTTTTGAGAACTCTCAAAACTTATGAGAACTCTCAAAACTTATGAGAACTCTCAAAACTTATGAGAACTCTCAAAACTTATGAGAACTCTCAAAACTTATGAGAACTCTCAAAACTTATGAGAACTCTCAAAACTTATGAGAACTCTCAAAACTTATGAGAACTCTCAAAACTTCTGAGAACTCTCAAAACTTATGAGAACTCTCAAAACTTCCCCCCAGGCTCCCGCATCAACCTTCTCTATAACATCGTGAACCCCCCACTTGAGGCACGCCTGAAAAGTTCCCCCATCTGTTTCCCCTTCCCCACCCTATTCCTCCCCCTCCCTTCCCTATCACCAGCGTTCTCCATAACAACCTCCTGTGGGGCCAGCTACCGCCTGCTGCCTGTGATGAGTCGATTTTTTAGTCGACTCAAAAATCGACTCCTGTGGGGTCAACTACCCCCTGCTGCCCACCTCTTCACCCTTTCCCCCCCATCTTCCCTCTCCCCGTCTCCCGCCTCATCTTCTCCCCGCCTCCCCCTCACCAGCGTGCTCTATAACAACTTCCTGTGGGGCCAACTACCGCCTGCTGCCCAGCTCTTTGCTCCCAAGGCACTCACGCACCTGTGAGTCTGACTGTCGACCGCAGTGTGGTGTGTGTGTGTGTGTGTCGTGTGTCATTGCAACGAGCTGCCTCAGAACTCACCTCGTTGCTCCCAGGGCTCTCCCACACCTGTGAGTCTATCTGAATGCCACGATATGCCGAGTGCCGTTGCAACAGGGCCATTTTTAAGGCTGTGGCTTAGCCAGAATCATGCTGCGAGTTTTCCTATGTGCTGTGTGCCACTGCAACAAGGCGACTCGGTATTCATCTCGTTGATCCCAAGGCTCTCACGCAGCTGTGAGCCTGTCTGCGGGAGTGTGCCAAGCTCACAGCTCATCTCATTGCAACAAGATCATCTCCAATGAGATCGTTGCTGCGGCTGTGACGTGACTTGCTACATGCACCCTGTGAGCCTGCCATCCCCAATGTTCCCCCAAGGCACGCTGTGAGCGTGTCATCTGCAATCTCCCGTGTGCCTTGGGAGCTCAATCGAACCCCTTTGGAGGCCATGGTTCAATACGTGGCAGCAAGTGATCAGAGTATGACATCATCCCTACTGTTCCCCCAAGGCACGCTGTGAGTGTGTCATCTGCAATCTCCCGTGTGCCTTGGGAGCTACCTCTGTGTGTGAATCACTTCCCACAAGATTCACTCATACGTCACCTGACTTGGGTGTTAAGCCGCACCGCTTTTGAGACGAGTCAAGAGCGAAACTAACTCTGTGAATCACTTCCCGTAAGATTCACTCGTACATCACCAGACTTGGGCTTTGAGTCGCACCGAACAACAACACTTGCGTGCTGTGCATGCATGTCACATGTGTGAGTAGCCTCGAGTAACCTCCCTTTATATCCACGCGCCAGTCAATTTTTTAGTCGACTCAAAAATCGACTCATCACACTCGAGTAACCTCCCTTTATATCCACACGCCAGTCACCCAGCCCCCCTCCCTCCCTCCCCCCCTACCTCTCCCCATTCTCCCCCCCAGCGACGTGAGCGGCAACTACCTCAGTGGCGCCGTGCCGAAGGTGCCTGCAGGCCGCCAGATTGAATTCAGGTGAGTCCGAATGGCTGTGGTGAGACTAGGGAGATTGGATTTGGTTGTGAGACTGTAAGTGGGCAGCGGCAACACCTCAGTGGTGTCGTGCCAAAGGTGCCTGCAGTGCGGAGGAGGTTGGAAGGAGGGAGGGGAGAAGGAGGGGGGGGGGGGGGGGAGGGGGTTGGTGGGAGGCGAAGAATGGCTGTGGGTGAGACATGGGAGATTGACTTAAGGTGAGTGGCAATCCCCTCATCTCAGTGGCTTCGTGCCAAAGCTTCAATTGACCACCTCACCTCATTGGTCCTGCTATCCGCCTGATTGACTTCAAGTGAGTCCGGATGAGGGACTGGCTGTGGGTGGAGTTTGGGAACTGGCTTTAAGTAAGTAGCAGCTACCTCACTGGTGCCGTGTCAGCGGTGCGTCAACGGTGCCTGCTGCGCTTGGGTGTGGGTGGGTGTATGGGGGGTGGGGGTGGGCTGTGTGTGTGAGTGTGTTCCCAGACGATGCCTCTGAGCGTGTTCTGGAAAACAAGCCAGCCTTCTCTCGAGTATGCCAATCTGAGTCGACCCTGCATAGGCCCTGCTGAAATTCTTCAACGCGCGCATCTCACTCTCATTCTATGGAGGTCTACCGTATTTCGAATTACATTTTGAGACACTTCAGCATAAAACCTGTCTAACTTCTATCTCTCTATCCGTGCTCTCCCACCTTGTCTTCCCCCATTTCACTCTGCAGGTGCTCCTCCAACTGCTTCCAACCGACGTGACATTTGAGTTGACTCAAACTCCCCCCTCCCATTTACCTTCCCTCCCCCAATCCACCCTTCAGGTTCTCCTCCAACTGCTTTCTGCCGAAACCAGGCCCCAAGTGCAAGCGCTCATAGCTACAGTTCACCCAAGCTGGCCTACATATTCCGGTCCGGACTTACCGGTAAATACGCAAGGCATGTGTGCTGCTGACCATGCTCCACCACCATCGTCCTAAGCCAAGCCCCGGAAGCAAGCTCTCCTAGTACTGTAGTCTTCCTTTGTCCCTAGCTTCCTCCTGTATACCAGACACAGGCCCCGGGTCATGTTACCACTCGGCCCCTCCTGTCTCCCAAGGGCTGTGAGTTTTGGGAACATTCTTGCGAGCATTATTACTATGTTCCCATCCCAGTTTACCTCAACATGTCAGATTTGGCGTTTTTGAACCGCTGCTAAGCGGTTTTCTGCTTGTCACAAACCTTCCTTTGGGCTTAAAAACTTTAGCCGATGAGGCCACACGCTAGGCCAGAGGTGGCAAGATTTCCGACCAAACAACACTGGTTATGCAAAGAAATTGGTTTGTTTATTCGATTTCCTAGACAGAGATGTTGAATCCCTTGCTCCCACTCCTGGCAGCACTCTTGGGTTCGCAGGCAAAGAACTTGGTTTGTTTATTTTATCTCCTAGGCAGAGGTGTCGAACCCCTTGCTGCCGCTCCTTGCCGCACTCTTGGGTTCGCGGGCAGCAGCAGCCTTGGCCTGCTCCTCACAGTACTTGGCCACTTCTCTGAACTTGGGCACACTCTTGAGGTCAATGACTGTCTTGTCCTTGAGAATGATTGACACATCCCCCCACTCGCCTATGAAGCGCGGCGCTGACCGCACCTCTGACACCAACTGCAGGGTGGGGAAAGAGGGAGTGGGGACGTGATTAGAGCACACGACTCGCATGAGGTCAATCAAGGTCTTGTCTTTGAGAATGATTGACACGCTCCCCACTAGCGCGGCACTGACCGCACCTCCGACACCAACTGCAGGTTGGGGAGAGAGGGAGGGGGGACGTGATTAGAGCACACGACTCGCATGAGGTCAATGACAGTCTTGCATGGTTGGCGCGTGGCGCGTCCCCCACTCGCCTGTGAAGCGCAGCGCTGGTCGCACCTCGGATTTAAGGTGCAGGTTGGGGAGGGAGAAAGGGGGGGAAGGGGGAAGGGTATTAGCTGAGAGGACTCGCTGGGAGGGTCAGACACGTTCTTGAGGTCAATGATGGCCAGTCCGGTCGATTGACCCAACCCCCCACTCCCCTCTAACTGGAACTGATTCAACTTTGAACGTAACGGGTTCAGGTCAAACCGGAGAGGAGAAAACTTGCCAGTTCATAGTTTAAACAGGCAAGGTTCGCATTTGTGCATGCTAGCAGTGAGCGTGTGCAATGAGCGCGCAGTCAAAGAGCACCAGGGGGATCAGCGCAGTGCGAGGTAATTAGCTGGAAACTGAGTTGCTTCTTACCGAGTATGGGTACTCGGGCCTCTCCTTCTCCTCCAGTTCGTTCCGACAATGCGGTGAAGCAGCGATTGGTGAAGCGGTAGCGTGGCGTGAGGACGCGGAAGGTAGAGGCGAGGGCGAGTGTGAGCGGCACAACCTATATTAGTAAAATAGTCTACAAGTGAGTTGTCTCTTACCGAGTATGGGTACTCAAGCCTCTCCTTCTCATCGAGCCCGGAGAGCACAGTGAAGCGGCGGTTGGTGAAGCGGTAGCGCAGCGTGAGGACGCGGAAGGCGGACGCGAGGGTGAGCGGCAGCCACACGCCCGTGAACCCCAGCACTAGGTTCAGGGCCAGGTCGCCTGCATGCGGACCACTGTCGAAAAACACCTCCTGTGGTGTGGGGCGGAACCGGGGAGAGGGATGGGGAAGACGGAAGTGAGGGTTAGAGGAAGCAATAAGCAGGTGACCACGTGCGCTATGTGTTGTTGGTTACAGGAAGAGGGAGGGAGAGCAAGAACGGCGCGTCATTTTCCGTCAGTCACGGTGTTGTTATGCAGCGCTTAGGCCTCCTCCAATGACGGTGCTTGTCTTGTCTACGTTCTCCTAGCCTCCCTCTCGCCCCTCTCGCCTAGCTCGCCACGCATGCAACCTCCCTTCGCTCCCCTTGCTCCCTTAAACGAGGAGCATTTTCTCGCTCCGTTGCCCTGAAAACGAGGGTCAAGGGCCCTCTTTAGCCGCCTCGTCAACGCCACCGTCTTTCTGGTTCGACTTTTTGATAAAACTGACAGACTTCCGCTTGATGACTGTGTCAATTCCCTTCCGTGAAATGCGATGCAATCGTATGCCATGCGACGGCGACGACCGTCGCGATGGCGAAGGATGACAATGGCGGCGCCACTGAGGATGGGATGAGACAACGGGTGGACTGGAACGCGCCACGTACCTCTGAGCTGGAAGACGATGAAGATGACGCGGCCACAGAGATATTCCGCGTGGAAGCAGCTGCTGCTGACGTGGAAGATTCTAGTCGAAGAGCAGACGAAGAGAGCTGTGACCTTCCCCCCGTGAATGTGGCTGACGTCACCGACTTGCGACCAGGGAGCGGCGCGAAAGGCGCTGACGAGGCGCCATCTGCTCTCCGAGATGCGGAAGCGAGAGTCGCGGAGGCTGCGACAGCGGAGTGTTGAACAACAAGAGACGCCATTTTCCACTCGGCCTCGAGAACAACGCGAGACGACCTCTTAGAAGCTCTGAGAAAACTGGGAGACAGTAATGAGAAAAGGCTTCCTCTGACACGCTATCTGAAGCCTAGCCTTATGCACGTTCCAGACTCCCAGCAGACTCTGTCTTGACGCCACAAGTACGAACTTTTGGAATGCTAGTAACTTGGAAGTAACGAGCTTCTGCAAATTATGACGGAATTTCCGAGGACATGTCAGAGTAGCTGCTGTACCACTTTCAGCCAAGCAGAAGGATTGGCTGGTTCGGCGTGGCTTGAGGCTCGTTCGGACGGTGTTGTGGACGTGGCAGATGCCGTATGGGAGGGTCCACGTAGTTGAGCTCGAGTGTTGACTGGTGAAGCGAAGCTAATGAAGATCCGCCACGGTGGATGCAACGCGTGGAGCTTCGACAACCAAACCTGACATGACCCTGCTTTGTACACGTCCTGGTTCGATCATCGAATCCCCAATGGTCCGACGAGGCAACTAGAGAAATTTCTGAGCTAAGGGGATTTTGCAGAAAGAGCAAAAAGCAGGCATTGAACCTGACGTGAATCGATCACGCAGCCTTCTGATCTGGAGTCAGACGCGCTACCATTGCGCCACAGTCACACAAGTCGTCTATGACGTCAAATCCTCGTCAATGGCGAATTCGGTGGTTGGACCAGAGACGCAACCCTGACGACAAGCTCTGCTGCACGGAGCCTGCCAGCTTCGCGTTCCCTCTCAAACTCGTCCCCCGTCATCTCGCGGAAGGCATGATATATGCTCGATGCTACGTATCCCTTCTTGATTTACACTCAAATAATCCCTAACGAACAGACTCTCCTAGCAGGTCCACTTACATCGCCACCTGAATCGTTGCATAGTTTAGCAACTATCTTACCACAAACCTTCTGAGCAGGCAGCTCGCCGATTGTGCCAGCAATTTATGTCTCAGAACACGGATTGGCTGCATTCGAGCAGCTTCAGGATGCACACGGCGGCGCTCTCCCGAGTCGTTCCTTTGACAATTCCCGAAGACAGCCAGCTTCCGTCAGACGACGACTCATCAGATGTTAGAAGGCAGCCCGGTTCGGAATCCAGAGAAGACCGAGCCCCGAGTCAACGTCAAGGCAGACTGAATGATGTAGACCATGGTTCTTTGTCGAATATGTTCGGTCGTGTTCCACTCACTAGGTGCCTGGCCATGCGTCGAGGCGCGTATGATAACTGGGTCGTTCGCACGATCGTTACGCCAGAAGGGGTGAAGGAGGTGTTTGGCCCGCCATAGCCGACAGCCTTCCACGATGAATTTTTAGGTAGTTCACCTTTAGGCTACTCTTTTATTTAGCCAACGCAGTCTTTGTGTAGGTGGGTTCGTGTGTGTTTGTATGAGTTTTTGTATTGCGATTTTTTCTTATCCCTCCACAATCACTCGCCGTGCCCTGTCCACCTATTGCTCAATAGATTTGGATTACCTTGGCAAACCGTTTCTCCCTCCACCCCTCCATCCTCTCCTCTCCTCCTTCACACTTCCACCCCTTCCCCTCCCTCAGATCCCTTCCCCCCCTCTCTCCCCCTCCCCCCTCCCGCCCTCTCACCTTCCTCTCCCTTCCACCCCCACCACCCAACCACCCCCCCCCCCCTCCCCTCCCCGTCCTCCCCCTTCCTCAAGCCTCCCCTTTCCCCTCCTCTTCCCCCTTCGTCCTCCCCTGTTTCTGTGTGTCCCTTTCCCACTCCTGTACCCCCCCTCCTTTCGCTCTTTTTGCTCACCACATCTCCTTTTGCTCGTGCTACTAATTTAGTGGTACGCCATACTTTGAAAGTGCTTGTGTATTTACACCACAGGGCTAACGTGGGTGGGCTTGGTGCAAGCTTGTTGGCTACGCAATGCACGCTGTTGTATAGATGTGCTCGTTGCATCAGTGGTCAAAATCTTGAAAGGGGTCGGGCGAGACCTGAATTGCCCAAGTCGGGAGGCATTTTGCTGACAGTTTGTCGCTCCCAGGCACTTGGGTTTCCCAAACCCTAAATTCCCGCGTTGCTTTGTTGTGTAATCTATGCGTTGGATTTTAGTGAACTGTAGAATGTATCGAAAGTTGCTAAGCGAAGATCGCCGGACAAGATTTATGCCACCGTGCCTTCTAACCGAACGTCGTTGCGTGTACAAGCCTGTCGCTGCACTTCCTGGCTTGCAGCCTGTCGCTGCACTTCCAGCGAAAAGTTGCTGCTGATGCAGTGCCTTATCCAGCAAGCCTTTTCGGGCTCCTCTGCTTTCCAGCGAAGATTCACGAAGAATCGTGAGTGTTCGCACCTCCCCCTGGACAACTGAATCTGGAGCCAAACCTCATCGGAACCCCCCTGTCCAGCAATTCAGCCAGAACGATGACACACTGATGACCCGAGGTCTCAAATCGCATTTAGTACTGGCCGGTGCTGTTTTGAGGTA